ATGGAATATTTCTTCAAAGTGTATTTAGGCATTGGAACAGGCTGCCCAGGGATGTGGTGGAGTTGCCACCCCTGCAGGCACTTAAGAGATGTGAAAGCGGCACTAAGGGCCGTCATTTTGTGGTGGATTTTGTGGTGTTTATACTGATGGCTGGACTTGATTTTAAGTCTTTTCCAACCTAATGGCTCCATGGCTCTGTGACAAACAGAAGGAGGTGCTGATGGATCTGGATAGCTAGGGATGGGGCCATGCAGCCTTCTCATGTGTTCCTCCAGCCTCAATGCTCATAAAACCAAAAGGGATATTTCTCCACAAAGCGCTGACATTTCTTTGATCTCACTGTGTTAGGAATGTCTTCCACCACTGCTCCAGGTTTTAAATCCTGTGCCATATAATAGCTTTAGTCTGGCAGAATCTCACTCTTTGGTGCAGATGCAGCATTTTTTGAAAGGGCAGTCTGTTGTACTTAAGACACATCATTTTTTGAAATCTTAAAGCTCCTTTCAGAACTATTCCTAAGCAAACACTGCAACAATCTACTTACTGTAGCAGCGTGATCAGGCACACTTCATGCTTTGATCGGCAGTACAGAAGAGCACAGACTTCATGCAGTGTCTCAGTATCCATGACAATCACGTACACAAAACAAACAGATAACACACTCATGTTTTGCTACACAGCCATGCAATTTTTGCAGTAGATTTTGCCTCAGGGAGCAGACTAGCAAGGGAAGACTCTCTCACAACTATTTAGAAGGTCGAGTCTCAGAATTCATATCCATGTTGTCTTAAAAAACTGATAATAGAACAAATACAGGTAGGTCTTATATTAGAATACATCACGCTGTTCTCTGCAGACACCTGCTGATGACATGCATGAGCTGAGGGGCTTGGAGCAGTGACTGTGGACAGGGAGCACTGGATCCTTAAATACCTTGCAGCAAGTGTTGTTCCTGTGCCCTCTCATGTCCCAGGTCCTCCTTCAGCCCCTTTCCCATCCTTTCCCATCTCCACAAAGGGCTCTCCTGCTTCAAAGACTTTTTCCTTCTTTTCCTGTCATCTGTGTCCTTTGAGATACCGCTGGTAGGACAATCAAGTTATAATCTCATGCACCTGAGGGGTTTTTTTGGATTTTGTTTTTGTTTTTGTTTTTCGGGGTGAGGGGTGAGAGGTGAGGAGAGTGGAAAGGGGGCCACAGGATGGAGGAGATGGCAGAGCTGGGAACACAACAAGTGACTGCTGCACAAACTCTAGCCCTCATAGCAACAACAAGAAGTGTCTTCCTCCCTCAGTTTCACAAATACCATCATTCTCACTTCCAACACCATCCATGTGCTATACATGCACTGAAAAAAAAAAATCAACTTCTGATAGCTGCAAACACAAATCATCTGGCCAAAAAAGCGATATATGAAATTACTGTATTATCCTAATGGATTGTTTGAAAGCATTGTGAATCAACAGCTTTGATGATACTTTCAATTGTATGAAAAAGGTTACGTTCCCCTGAGAGGCTGCATCTTTGAAAGCATTTCTGGTACTTGGATTACATCTTCAGATGAATGTAAATGGAAAGTTGATTATATAAATGTAAAGCCCCTTACCTGTCTGGGAACTGAAAATGGCCTTCTTTTACAAGCACATAGTCAGTGAAAAAAAGGCTTTCTGTTTACATATATACATAACTGAATTGCTTTTTTTAAAGGCACTGAGTTCTTCTGTGCTTTTAAATTAGGTAATGTCATGTCTTTCTATTCTGTGATAATCTGTAATTTGTCAAAACTGTTACTGCTAAATGAGAAGCTGTAATTGTTCAGGTATTTACCTGAGCCATCACTGCATGTCAAGGCAGCCACAGCCTCAGAGAAGCTTGATCTTTGCAACACATTATCCATAGCAATACATAAAACACATCCTTCCCCACAGCAATCACAGCTGTTTCTCTGAAAGAATCAGACAGCAAGGCAGGCATCAAACATAAGCTGAAAATGATGATATTGGGATGTCTACGGGCATTGAAACTATAGTCCTCAAGATGTGTTGCAGGCAACATAACACCTGTGAGATCTTCCACTTCAGCTACAGAGTAAACAATAATGGGACAAGGAGTAATGGCCTGAAACTTGAACATAGGAAGTTCTATGCTAATGTGTGGAAGAACTTTATGGTAAGAGTGATGAAGCACTGGAACAGGTTCCCCGGAGAGGACATGGAGTCTCCTATGAAGATATCCAACCTGCCTGGACACTCTCCTTTGTGACCTAATGTAGGATAACTGCTTTAGTAGGGTTGGACTTGATGGTCCTCTTAAGGTCACTTTCAACCCCTGTGATTGCATGGTTCTGTGAGTAACGTGGATTATAACAGCTGGAGGAGATCTGACTGCTCAATATTGCCATCCAGGAGCCAGTGAAATTTTAGCTTCTGAATCATCAGTGAATAACCAGCTACTCATAAATACAGATCCAAGAAAAAATAGAAAGCCCACTAGTAATTCAAAAAGATTAAAGCACCTCTAAATAGCTGAGGAATTCATAAATTCCTTCATAAATTCTGTTTTCATTATGCTATTTATTTTTAAGAAAGAAAGAAAATTTACTAATAGCTTCTGCTAGACTGTCAGTTAAAAGAAGAAAAAGAAGACGAACTCACAACACTGAAGTAATAAAACACTGGAGGAACGACTATTTTGTTGTTCTTGTTGAGATCTACAGCATATTTTGCATACCCAAAGTGTGATCATTTTCAGAGGGACGTATTTCTCAAAACCGTTTGCTTGCTGATACCACCTCAGCCCATGTGTCTTCTCCAGCCACCACCACCTTCCGCTCATTTCCGCATCCTCCCAGCTGCCAGGCAATCACTCAAGGTGTCAGCACAGACAAGGTCCCACCAAGTTAACCAATGAACTTTGTCACTCATTTTAGCTCTCAACGGCCAATGAAGGATCACCCAAACACAAAGGGTCATCCTCAGTGGATGAGCTGAACGGAGTGAATGAGTTCTTGTAAGGCTGGTAGTGGCTTTTCAATCTTTATCTGCATAAAAGCAAATGATTTACACAAAACATAAAAGCACAGTTTAAAACTTTGTACTAATTTCTAATGTGGTTATAATTATCCTTCATTGTGGGTTTTTTTTTTTTTCATTATAGTTCATTATATTTTTCATAAGATAATTAGTATCTTTTCCCCAAGCAAGTATTTTGCCACTTCAAATCACCAACTGCTTGCAGTTCTGAAGTAATTTTGATGGATTATTTCCTTTGTTAATTATCCATCCAAAATTCCCCATAAAAACTATCCCATGCCTTCAAAATAAAAGTGTCACTCCCTGCCTTCCTCAACTAATGGCCATTGATAAATGCATACATTTATTTGCTGCCTGGATCACAGTATGTCTTACTGCTTGCACTGGCTATGTTAGAATCAGCCATCCTTAAAGGTGTTTTGCTCCTTCACGTGGTATTTTGGCTTTTGTAAGAGTTGTTAGAAACAGCAACACAAATGCAATACAGAATACCGACTACTACTGGGAATGAAAGTTAATAGAAAACTGTGAGTATGCAGATGATTACCTAATCTCCAATTCACTTAGGTCTCATTTCAAGCTTGAATTTTTCATACCAAAGAGCAATTTTTCATTATGAATTAATTTAGCCTCCAGAAATGTGTGTTATCTACATACATATGAGCAGATATAAAAGTATTAGCTTCTAGTTTTGTATTTTCTAACTAGCTCAATTAAACTCACAAATTGCTTAAAATATGTTAATCATAGTCCCATATCATAGCATTCCAAAGAAATTTGAAACAATGTGGATGCTGGAATTAGACAGGTGTATAGCAGTCAAGGAATGGGACCAAACTCTGCTGCCAAACATCTGAACACTGTTTCTGAATTGAGTAGATCCACTGAGGAAATTACTGGTTACTGTAAATCTGAAGGTACAACACAATATACCCTTCTGCTTTAAATTCTGGAGTTGGATTAGATCTCTATAGCCTTTGAAGTATAAAAAGCTTTAGTTACATGTGAACAACAACATTGGAGAAGTTTTCAGGCTTTCTGCACACGCCCCATCTGCTTCCCACATTGTTACTGAGGTGAGGCCCAGGTAAGCAGCAGGTAGAAGGGAGCTGCAATTCACTCCGTGTCCTTGAAGTGTCAAGACCCAAGATTCGGAAACCCCAGCCCTGCAGCCTGGGTATCATCTCTGCCCTTTAATCTCTGCTTCGATTAGGCACTTTGCAACCATTCCCTGATGCTAAAGGATGCTCTTGTAACACAAAAAGCAGAGTTGCCAGAGGAAGGTGTACTGCAGCAACTGCAAGCATACCTTGTGCTGGAGTCTAGAAGTTGACCTTTTAATAGAAATGAGCAACCTGCAACCTAAAATCCCAGCAAAGGCTTCAGAAATGGGAAGACAGATATGGGAGAGACAAGCAGTCTGCTCCCCAGATTTGCCCTGTTAAGAACCAGGCATGTAGCTCTGGCAAACAGCATGCTGTTAGAACCCCAGACAGGTGGAAATGTGCTTACATGTCAAAGCTGTTATTCCCAAAGAGGAAAGAAATTATGTCGTCTCAAACACTCCATGGGTAACAGACAGCAAATGGTCCAGAAATAGAACAAAACTAATAATATAAAACTCAGTTTGGAATATGAAATGAAAGCTGTCTTTTGCATAGTAAGGGAGGTGTTTTCTTAGCAGATGAAGTAGGATTGTTATTTTTAGTTGCAACAGTGTATTACAATAGGCAAGCATGCTCCTCATGACGGCTGACCCATTACCAAATATCACTGATGCTTGTTACACTGCATTATGAAATGGTTAACTTTGGCAACTGAGGTGCTTATAAACTGCTCAGTATAAAATAACGAGTTGGATGGGACTCAAAGCTTTTAAAGATTACTTGAACTCTAATAGAACAAAATCATGAACGGTTTTTAAAAAGATATGCATTTGTGAATAAAATAATTTCCTTCATAAACCAATGATTTCTTCAAAATCAATTTAATAATGAATTTCATCTTTTATTTTAAAGCACATTTCACAATGAAGCTGAAGAAGAATTAACAACAGTACGTTTCTAATACTGATCATTTCTTTCCATTGAAATGAATGCACTTCAGCACCATACTTTTGTTCTGTCTACTGAATTCATATCAGAAAAACAAATGTTAACTGTACCTTCCCCTTCACAGCAGAGGATGATGTAAAAATGGGAAGAAGTTTTGTTCCGAGTTGATTAAAATTAAAACCTTCTATTTTTAAAACATCAAATTAGCATTACCAAATTCTTTAAGTCTCCCTTCCTTCCATTAGAAAAACAAAAACACTGCAATTAACATAAAATTGTCATAATGATTCTATTTTACCAGACATAATTGCATAAAAAGTCAGAGATACCACCTTCAGACAGGTTATGGCAGCAGCAGCAGCCATCATTCCACAGAAATCACATTCTACCCAGCTGGAAAAGGAAGTTACAAAATGGTTCTGTATGCATTAAGTCAAATGTTCAGAATCTTTCAGCTTTTGTGTTCTGAGTCTTCAGAAATAGTGATTTTTTGCTTAGGTTTGGTAGCCTCATCCATTAGCTCCTTCAGCTGCCCAATCTGCTCATCACGGAAGTCATTAAGCTTTTCTTCTGTGAGTTGGATTCCAAATACAGCCTTTTTTCTCGAGCTCTGTTTGTCGTCATTAATTTGTTGCCATATCAGCGCTGCATAGTTCTATGAAGAGAGGATATAAAGGTCACAAAAATGACACGTGCAGGATACCTGTCAACTTCTTTTAACACCATTTTACCATACAATCATACTCTTACACAACCTATGAAAATCCACCAACACCAAATGACAAAAACTACATCTTGTTCAGAAAGAACCACGCAATCACCGAAGACACAAAGACCAGAGGGTCTTCTGAACATGAGAACTTCTCTTGGTCGTGTTCCTTTCGGACAGACTAAACTGCATTGCCCCAGGTGAACCTCCCCAATGATCTTCTGAAGGGAAGCACGCACCCCAGTCAGTGGGATCTTACCCACTGTGAAGTGTGATATACAGCTACTGAAACAGACAGAACAAGATACGCAGCGTATCTCAGATTGTTACTAACAGAGAAAAGCCATCAGTGTTAAATAATCTCTGCCCTGGAAGTAGTGCCCTCAGCAAAGCACTCCACCATGTGCTGATATGTTGTTCTCTCACTTAAGATTCAGCTTGAATGCAGAAAATGCACCATCTTCTCACTGCACGTGAACTGTAATGCAGAACTCCAGATGAAGATCAGAAATAAGTTTAAAAACATAACAGGAGAGGGGAAGGAAGCTTACGTTTGCTCTTTCAGGAATGTACCACAAAATCTGGTGATCACAATCTGTACCCGGCAATGAGAAGGAGCAGCATCTTTGCTTTTGCTTTAGCTTTCCTTAGAACTTACAGAGTGTAACTATTTACCAATAGCACCTCCTCTAACAGCAGAGCCAAAACAAACCCCTGCTCAGCCTTCTCAAACAAGGAAAATCACTTCTTCCTTTCTTTTTTTATTTTACATATAGCTACACCTTCTAAATACAACAAACCTTCTCTGGCAACTGTGATCCAAACCTCCGACAGATTTTCCAAGGGCATCTTATTCCAGTTACAGTTCACACTGTGCTCACAGTACGTGAGAGAGAAGAAACAAAGCTGGAGACAGACCAGCCTGCAGGCACAGCAGAGTCATGCTCAGCATACATGAGGCAGCAGAGGAGAGCAGGAGAGCAGCTGAGCTCAGCCATCGGGCTGCCTCAATACTGTGGCATGAGATTGAATGATGTGGATTCTGTAGCTGTCTGCTACAGAAACTCACAAAGTATTTACTGTAATCAATAATCACCTTTTTTTTTTTTTTTTTTTTTTTTTTTCTTCCAAGAAGGTCACTATCTGAAGTGAATACACAGCTTTTCCTCTGTTTTATCAGAATGGCACAGGGATGGGTGACAGCTGAGGTTTTAGAATATCACTAATTAAGGAAAGTCAGCTTGTTGCTTACAAAGTTTAGAAGAAATCAAATACAAAAATAAAAGCCCCAACTGCCCAAACAAAAGCTCTGCTGCCTGACAGCCAGATGGACAGACTGCCATCCTGCCCAGTACACGCTGACAGGCTAGCGTACACCTGATATGATATGAAATGTTGAGCAAAATGTATGATTTAATTATAAGGTAAAATAAAAATTAAATTCCCATCTGCACTGGGAAGAATGGCAACCATCTTCTCTGTCTTCTTTGGCATCCTCCACAAAGGTAGGCTTAACATGTAGAACATTGTATAGAGTTGATGCCTTTATCTCTTCCAAAATATCATCTTCACTTACAGCCAAATTAATGACGTAACACTGATCAAACAACAACATCACTGGGACAGAGCAGCGGCAGCTGCTCATTGCCCTGTTCAACGTCTCAGCCAGCCATCAAGAAGTGATATCAAATGATTTTAAACCATTCCTCAAGATGATATCTAAAAACAAGCCTGGCCTGGCAGGTCACCCACATCACTCATTGGAAATTAACTCCAAATTGTAGCCTGTCAAATTCTTGTTCTGTTGCAAAATATTACACCTGCTGCCAGGGCTGTAGTGTGAAGAAACAATAATGAGAATGGACAGCACAGCAAGCAATGCCCTCAGCTTAGATTGCACAGAAACACTGGATTTATGTTTCTACATACATTCAGACAGATTTCTGTAGCTGACTTACTCTTTTCTTTTTTTTTTCCCCAAAAGATCTCTCTTTGCTTTGTTTTCTGTTAAGCTAATTAAGTATCAATTGCAGACAAAATATTCAGAGAAGTGGTGTTTAAATGGGGGATATAGCTCACGAAATTCCAAAGCATTAGGACTGTGGCCAAATCCAGAGTCTTCAGTACAGCAGAGATGTGGACCTGTTGGAGCACAGCCAGAGGAGGGCCACAGTGATTTGGGTCACTGATGTAACACAGCTCCTGCTGGGAGATGCTATTAGATTCACCACATAGCCATGGACATCATCAACATCTGAATGGCAGGAGATCAAACATTTCAGTTCTGATGCAACAAACACCACTTACATTCAGAAGCTACAATGAGGCCTCTCCAGGAACACCATGCTCCATTAACTAAAGCACTAGAAATAAGGTATCTTCATAAAACTATGGCTAAGCTATAAATTTATATACAAGAAAAAAAAAACCTAATGATAAGCTGATTTATTACAGAAGCCAATGTTTTTTCTTACATTTTCTTGATCTAGCATCTGATTCACTACTAATGCCATAGGTACACAGTCCATTGCCTAATATTGAATAGAAGAGGCAGAGCTGTGCAAAATTACAACAGCAAAGATAAGCAAGCCTTCTTTATGTCCTGTGTTCACACAGTTTTGCTGGAGGTACAGCTTAAATAAAATCCCAATCCTCCTTGCATGCACACACAAACCTCTGCTGCTCAAATTAAGCAAACCGTGAACTCCAGCTCTTGGGTAGTGAGAGGATATGGAGCGGAGTCCCAGCACAGCTCATGGCGATGCCAGATTCATTCACCTGACTCACGAGTTACATTCCATGAGAGCAATCTGGCTAAAAATACTTAAAGATCTACTTACCACCTTCAGAAAGCTTGTACAAGTCAGAAAATCTGCTGTTTCTTTTACATTTCAAATTTCAGACATGCTTGATGTTTTTTCTTAATAATAGAGAAGCTAAAGATAGAAAGTTACGCAGAAGTCAGTGTGTTAAATACGTAAGTTTATTCAGAGGTTTGCTATGTACAGAACAATGAAGACTTATAAAACAGACCAGGTACCTTATAAGACCAAGTCCAAGACAAGTCCAAGAGCAGGGAGTAGCTGAGAACCCATCCCACAACTGAAGACATCTCATGCCTCAAAAGTAAATGAAGGTTGAACAAAATCCTATATTTTCTAATTAACAGACCAAATGGTAATTAAGGAGGAGCTATAACCACAAGCTGCACGAAGAACAAATTCTACCACTTGCAATGGGATTTTGTAAAACTGATGAATGTTACGTGTGTAAGAGAAACTAAACATGCAGACCCAGGCTGCGTGGGGTGACACGGTTCTTCTTCAACTCATGATAACCTGACAAACCATCCTTCAGACATGAGGGTCTCATCACTACATTCCTTTCTCTAACTGGCTTCAAACAACTTTCTTGCTTTCTTGTGCTAAAAAGAATGTGTTTATTAGTTGGACTATTTTTTGAAAGAAAAAAGACAAAAAAATACCTTTTATCCTTGAATGAATCTGTAATCCCTCCTCTGGAGTCTGTTTCCTGTTTGGGAACCCTGCTGAGGTGAAACTCAGCAACACCCTCAAGTGAAACACGTGACCAACAAATTCTCAGTTCCTTTTCATCTTCAGAAAAGTTTGAATTACATGGCATTTTCACTTCTGAGGGTGAAAGACCACATCACCATTTCTAACGCAGAGGGCTAAAACAGATTTCAGCAGTACAAAGTCATTGGGTTGTGAAGACTGGAAACAACCAGAAAATGTCAAAAGTTTTCTAAAACTTCATCAGGAAAGAAAAGCCAAGAGAACTTTAAGAACATCAAGTTTTCCCAAGAGACTCAGGACTGATGCTAAACCAACCAAAACTTCAGGGCAGTGACCACAGTAACGCAGGGATGCACACACTGCAGCCACAATGAACTGGTACCATATGAGATTGGTTTTTTTGGTTGCTTGCTTGTTTGCAGATTGGAAAGAGAGAATGAAAAATTGTTCAGCTAAAATGGAGCCAGGGAATGTAATTATGTACTACTTAGTAATCAGCACGGAGAATTATTATTTGATCAGGAAGGTACAAATGGACTCCTTTTTTAACACAGTTTACTAATATTGTTAAACTGGAAGAAATGACATTTATTTAGAAAAATGTGAAAAAAAGTTCAAGAACCAATTCAGCTTTGCTTACCGCTTAAATTATACATTATTTTAATTTCCTTTTTCATATAAGACTTATGAGATCGCAATATGAGGTAAAAGTGGAAAGTTTGTGGTTTGACCATCAAGGTAAACACATATCAATTACCCCATTAGAGTATATCAGAGTGACTTAGCTGTCATTTGTGGAAGAACAAGCTGTGATTAATCATTTCTTTCTGGACGTACAATAACAACATAAGTTTTATGTATCAAAGCCAAAACTGCAGTTTCTAAAAGCTTTTTGCATCATCTGATAGCAGCCATGGTCTTTAAGAACATCTTACCTTATGTCAATAAGCTTCGTCTTAGGTCTTAAAGAGAAAACTTGAGCTAATTCCAGTGAAGGAGAAAGGAATATTCAGCACTCAAGGACCATGAGGATGATCCAAGGGCTGGAGCATCTCTCCTAAGAAGACCAGATGAAGGAACTGGGCTTGTTCAGCCTGAAAAAGACTGTGTGGAAACTTCACTGCAGCCTTCCAGTATTTAAAGGGAGTTTATAAACAGGAGGGAAATAAACTTTTTTACGTGGACAGACAGTGATGTGATGAGAGGGAATGGTTTTAAACTAAAGGAGGGGAGATTTAGATTAGATGTCACAGAAAAGATTTTTACTGAGAGAATGGTGAGATGTTGGATCAGGCTGCCCAGAGAGGCTGTGGATGCCTCACCTCTGGAGGTGTTTAAGGCCAGGCTGGATGGGGCCCCAGGCAATGTGATCTAGTATTTGATCTAGCAGTTGGCAGCCCTGCCTGTAGC